AACAGAATAACTTTATTTATCCAAAATTTATAAACGTTCATGCAAAGTAAGCTATATTCCAACAAAATGGAAAGAAGCAAATTTGATACCTGTATTCAAAAAAGGGAGCAAAACTATAGACCCATTGCTCATGCGTCTGTAGCTTGTAAAATTATGGAAAGATTTATAAAAAAAGTAATCATAAAACATTTTAAAATCTTTGACAATAAATTGATCTCTAACGAACAGCTCGTTTTGTTAAAAATAAATCTTGTGTGACGAACTTATTAGAAACATTGGACATCATAACCGAATCTCTTAACTTTGGTGTCTCAGTTGATACAGTATTCCTCGATCTCGCTAAAGCCTTTGATTTAGTACCACATGACGCTCTTATTAGAAAACTTATAGGCAATGGTATCAAAGTCAATCTTCTTAAATGGTGCACTTCTTTCATTAAAGGAAGGAAGCAGAGAGTAGTGATATGTGACTACTGCTCTGGCTGGCGCAATGTAATTAGTAGTATTCAACAAGGTTCTAGTTAAGAACCTCTATTCTTTGTTATATTTATTAACGATTTGCCAGAAGTGGCAACAAATTTCATAAGGCTTTTCGCTGACGATACTCAACTAGTTGAGGTTTTAAAAAACCCAATTGACAGCGTTTCATTACAGAATGGCATCGATGCAGCTACGAAATGGGCTGACGATTGGCACATGAAATTTAATAATGAAAAATCTAAGGTTATGTATATTAGAAAAAAATCAAATAATAACACTTATAAACATAGGTATACAATATATGGTCAAGATTTACTTATAACTATAGCCGAGCGTGACTTAGGTATTTACAAATAACTTAAATTGGGAATCCAATGCCAAAAAGCCGCTTCAAAAGCTAACTATATTCTTGAAATGCTTAAAAGAACTTTCGATTATTGGAATGTAAAATCATTCAAGATTTTGTACACATCATTTGTAAGACATCATCTTGAAACATTTTCTTCAGCATGGAATCCTTACAGGAATAAAAAATAGAAAATCTTGAAAGAATACAAAGACGAGCTACTAAGCTAGTATCTGCTTTGTGTAAACTAAACTATAAATCGAGACTTAAATTTCTTGGTTTAACTGCCCTTAAAGAACAAAGAATTAGGGAAATATTAATTAAATATTTTAAAATCTCCTAAAGCATCATAAAAGTAAATTGGCAAGTCCCAATAAATCAGCCGTACTGGCATCAGCTCCGAGGTCCTGCAGGAGCGATTAGAAATATTCAACACCCCATCATCAAGCAAGCCAAGATAAACCTTATTCAAAGATAATTCTTCTTTACTAATAGAATCATTTCACACGGGAATCAACTTCCTAGAGAAGTTGTTGAGGCTGATGTTTTCCAATATAAAAACAGATAAACATTATTCTAAAAAGTGACAGATTATTGCAAATCAATTGGACTGCCATAGTCTACAAATTATTTGCTAGATTAATAGAATGTTTCTGTAGCAGTTGTATCTATAATAAGGAAATAAATAAATAAAAACGCAAGGGAAAATATAAGAAAAAAATTAGGTAAATGGTGTTGTTTAATCACCAATGACTTTTACAAACACAAAACTATTTTATATTAGAAATAAAAACGTATAAAATGTGTATATATATATATATATATATATATATATATATATATATATATATATATATATATATATATATATATATATATATATATATATATATATATATATATATATATATATATATATATATATATATATATATATATATATATATATATATATATATATATATATATATATATATATATATATATATATATATATATATATATATATATATATATATATATATATATATATATATATATATATATATATATATGTCAGGGCCGGCGCTAGTATTTTTTGGTTTTTGAGATAGCTAACTTTCAGACATGGAGCAAACTCCAAACATATATATATATATATATATTTATACTTATGTCAAATAAGGATGCTTTGCAAAAAATTGCGATAATTGGAGCTTGGAAACAACATAGCCCCAAAATTTTTGCCTAGTCTGTCCCAAACGTGAGAGCAACAAGTTGATAAAATATTTTTTGTACTATTTTCAACTAGACTAATATTCATCGATAAGTTTTAAGTTTTATAGTATAATTTCTTAGTGTTAAAAAATTATAACAATATAAAATTTGCAACCCCCTCAAATTTAGGAGGGTTTAAACATTATAGAGTCATAATTTTTGAACGCTAAAGTATTTTACTATGAAACTTAAAATTTATCGATGAATATTAGTCTAGTTAAAAATAGTACAAAAAATATTTTATCAACTTGTTGCTCTCACGTTTGGGGCAGACTAGGCAAAAATTTTGGGGCTATGTTGTTTCCAAGCTCCAATTATCGCAATTTTTTGCAAAACATCCTTATTTGACATAAGTATAAATATATATATATGTTTGGAGTTTGCTCCATGTCTGGAAGTTAGCTCAAAAACCAAAAAATACGAGCGCCGGCTCTGATATATGTATATATATATATATATATATATATATATATATATATATATATATATATATATATATATATATATATATATATATATATATATATATATATATATATACGTATATAATCTATTATTAACAACAATAAATAGAATGTTTTTCAACTCTTATATTTTAGTAAAAATGTTGAAAGACTATTTACTTACTTTCAGGAGTAATATATTATCAACTTGTACTTATAATCACACTTTTTGAACATCAACATCATAAACATCTAGATTATGATGTTGATATTCAAAGTTATCTAAAGAATACGATCGTTCGTTAGACATTTTACCACAGATTTTTACTGTTTTGTTGATATTGCTTTCTTTTCTCTTAATTTCTAGGTAATTTCAATCCTTTTCTTTCCTTCTTCTTTCTTTTGGTTTCTTTTCTTAAAATTTCAAGTGTATCACAACAAATCTAGTTCCTCACAATAAGCCGCCATAATATTTTTTATCAGTCGTTATTCTAAATTAATTTACTTGGCGCGTAAAAACAAAACAAACTGCACAGCGGGCATTTGAACATTTAATCAACGTTTAGTTAATGTTCGTTCTAAATGTTTATATTTCATTTAGTTTCGATCTAGAACGTAGGTCAATCGAATGTTCCATTTAAACCATATCTAAATGGTTTGTTTTAAACGCTATTTAAACTCCATCTAAATCTTTTGTTTTATATTTTGCGACGTTCAACTTTACTGTACGGCGTTTATTTAAAGAAGCATAAGTACTAATAAACTAAATACATAATACAGTACATAAATACTAATAAACGAATCAAACTTTTCTTTTATTTAAGTTGCTTTAAGTAAGCACTGTAAAGAAAAGTTAAACGCTGAACGCATGATCTAAATACTCATAAACAAATCAAACGTTAAACAGATAATTTTTTATTTATATAAGTCTAAAATACAAGTAAAATCGTTTTATTTATTATTATATGCATCATCGTATTCGTCATCATGATCGGCTCCATAATGATCATCGTCATTTTTGCTTAAACCGATTAGGCTACTTCGTCTTAAGAATTAGAAAAAAGGACATATCCTTTCCTATTTCCACCAATACGGAAGGGAGCCATTCTTAGATTGGAACCAATGCACGATACCGTTTTGCGGATACCGAAGTCATACAATCTTTTTTTTTGAAAATAATAAAAATAACTCAATAAACATCTTCATTCTATTCATATTAATCATTCATTCAACAACTTCATAAATCCATACTTTTATAGATTTTAGAAGTTTGTACATTAGTACAGTGTAGATTGAGTAACTATAGTAACAACTGATAGAGAACTTTTCTTTGAAACTCTGTAAAATATATAATATTTATATAATAAAAACCTTATTAAAAAAACTTGTAGTTATTGTAGGTTTTTATGTTTTACGCTTTTTAAAGTATTCTTTTTTAAAAGGTTGGTTTTTATTACATATGACGCTGACCACAACAGGTCAGCAAAACATTATTATATATATATATATATATATATATATATATATATATATATATATATATATATATATATATATATATATATATATATACATATATATATATATATATATATATATATATATATATATATATATATATATATATATATATATATATATATATATACGTTTTTCAACAAATTCGAAGAGTCCAATTTCCAGTTATAAAAATTTCAAACGTCGGTTTCAAGTTCTAATTTCGAGTTGTGCTCTAATAGGGATTCTGAATGAAGTTATGCGCAATCATCTGAAGATGAATGGGACATTTATCTGGAGATTAATGTAGTGATGAGTAATTATCTGAAGATGAAAAAAATGATGAGATCATTAATCTGGAAATTAATGAGGTGATGAGAAATTATCTGAAGATAAATGAAATGATAGCAATCATTTGGAGATGAATGAAGTGATGAGCAATTATATGAAAAATACTGCGTAAAGAAACTAAAAATCAATAAGAGAAAAATCTCATATAAAAAACATATAGTATTTTTACATATTTAAATAATGCAATTTAAAATAAAGTATCTAGAAATATTATATAATACTCCTTGTTTTAAAATGTATATAAAAAAGGTTTCAGTGCAGAATGAAAACGTTTAAATTTATTTAGAACATAAAATCTAAAGAAACATTTAACAAATTAAAAAAAACTTATTAAAAATAATTGTATTTAATATCCCTAAATAGAGTTTAACTCAATTATTATACGTTTAATAAAAAAATAAAATGGTGGATAATAAATGGTGGTTTTGGATCATAGTAAAATCTCAAAACCAAATTGTTTTTGTTTAACCTTAAACTGTTCTTTTTATACTCAAAAGTTCAATTTAAATCTGTTCGACTAAAAAAAAACTATTTTTTTAAATCTTTTTAAAAAAAAGGAAAAAGATACTTCAATGTATTTTCACGTCTATCAAATTTTATAAACTTCTGCATGTGTGTGTGTATAAAATAAACATAAAATAATGGATTTTTCTAGCACGTGATTTTGATTTATGATTGATTTCTGAAGGCTATTGATCATACATTTCAATAACAATTAAAATAAAACAAAACAATAAAGCTAAATCAACTAAAAAAAAGCCTTTAAAAAATTTTAGTTTTTAAATACTATAAAATAAATATTTAAATCAAATAAAAACATTAAATTAATTATGTAATAAAACCAATTATTTCAACTTTACTTTTAATTACGGTTTTCGAAGTTATTCGGATGCAATAAAGTAGATAAACAAATTGATGCCATAGTTTAAAATTTGTCAGTTATTGCAATACAACCACCATGTTTGAGAGCATCAACAATGTTATTAATCAAAAAAAATTTTAACGTTGGAATTTTGTGAAATAGATTTAGCGATTTTTTTTGTTTTTTCAATTTGATTTTCAAGATTATATAAAATAAGCTTTGTATTTTGCTTCTGCTTCAATAAGGCTCCTTTATTCGATAAAACTTCACGCATTATCAATTGTTTTTTAGCATTAAACTGTTTCTCTTCTATTCCTTTTTTATGAAACTTACCCATCCAAAGCATTAACCTACAAATGTAATATTAAAAAAGAGATTAAATATGATAATAACATTGCATAACATCATTCTTAACTGTGACAAATAAAACACTTATTTATTACACAGTAATAAAAATACCCGTTGTATTTTTAAATTGCATAACGTTAGATTTCGTGTTTTATAACGGATAAATACCGTTATGTTCCACATATAATTCGTATGAAAAAAACATAACGGTATTTGCCATTAGGTTTTTTTTTATACGAATTATACATTAAACATAACGGTAACTACCCATTATAAAAGACAAAGTCTGGCGTTATGTAAGCGTTATGTTTGAAAACCAGATATAACGGGTAATTACCCGTTAAGTTTACTAACTTTAACTTTTAATGTTAAAATTAAAATTCTACCATTTAAAAGACAAAAAAACAAAAAAAAGAATAATAAAATTTTCAAAAAAAAGCAAGTAAACAACAAACGTATTAGACTTAGTGATATCATCTAATGCGTTTGATAATGTCTAATGCGTTTGTTGTTTCTTGGTTATGTATTTGAAATGTCGGTTGATTTATAATTTGAGTTGATTATATTTTGAGTATTTAAAATCACCACATATATGTTCATCTGAATTTTTTTTTTTTACAATTTATAGGAGTAATTGACTGAATCTATAACTTGCTTGTTATTTCCCTCACTAAAACCTTCAACTCGTTTAATACATCTACAAAAAATATTTCTGAAACCGTACAAACCGAGCATCATATTTACTCAATATTGCCATTATGTAAATAATTATAAATCAAATTAAAAGAACTGATGCTTTCATGACTATAAATGTATATTTCATAATCAGTCTGTATTGTCTGGAAAAGAAATAACTCGGAATATTTGTTGTTATTTATTCATTTCGCTATGTTTCACATAACATTAAATATTTGGTTGCTCAACTTCAATATCAATTAATAATTCATTAAACTTGTTGTTTAGCAATGTTGCATAAGTATACCAGCAAGACATAAGACAGTATTTTCTCGTCAATTAACTTAATGCAGATTTTATAGATTCTAATTCCTCAAATATCATATCAAAAAGGCTTGTTGATAGTTCCTTATATAGCATGTTTTCTTTGCATTTGTTTTTCTCAATAACTAGTTCTTTCTTTTGTTTCTGTTCGACCTCAGTTTGATCCAGAATAATCTATACTTTTTGAAAATTATTTAATGTCTTCAGCATTATAGCAGCTTTCAAATCAAAACGATAACTTGATTAATTAATTGCAATTAATTAATCAGAATATTGCTGTTATATATATATATATATATATATATATATATATATATATATATATATATATATATATATATATATATATATATATATATATATATACATATATATTTATATATATATACATATATATTTATATATATATACATATATATACATATATTTAAACAATTTAAAATGTATTCTACAAAAAGAGTGCTCAATGTTCTTAAAAGAACAGAGCAATTACAAATTAGTAGAAAATTACTTAGCAAAATTTTTTCTCTTTTAACACTGTGTTTCATCAATAAAGACTCATCAGAAATGAATGATCAAATTAATAAAACTTCAATTTATACCAAAAATTAAATTACAGGAAGTCACATGTCTTAACTACTGCAATTTTTCACACATTTGTGTAATTTGCTGACACTATTGTAAAAAGATTTCTTTAGAAATGATTACTTAAGCTTTTTAAAAAATAATATATTTTTTTCAAAGGGGAGTTAATGTAACTATTATTTGAGCTCACTTATTTTTATAGTTTTTTAGGAGAAACTTATTTTCGTGCCTGCATTTAGAAATCAATTCTGATTTTTTGTTTAATAAACATTCTTGGTTTGTATGTGTAATTATTTCAAATTTTTCTTGTAGACATAGTATGCATTTTTTGGAAATATTGTTATATGCAGGCACTGTTTTAAGGATGGACCAATTCAGTGTAAAATCATCAATATTTTTATCTTTTAATTCCCATATTTATTTTGACAGCATGGTGTCTTTTGAATACTTTTTATTTTTAAAAGATTGCTTATGATTGGCAAAACGTTTTTTTCCATTCACCTTCTGTTATGCCAACATATTGTTTATCAGGTACATTCTTAGAGGAGACAACACATTTATATACCACATTTTTTGATATGCAACTTCCACTCATTGGACAATTGTTTTTTTGTTTACAATTATAATTTTCTGTAGTTTTTTCATTTTGAATTTCTTTTTTGTTTAACAAAGCATTGTTGTGACCTTTTATAATTCTTTTTTGCAACTGTAGCTAACTTTAATAGTATTTCGATTAAAAATTTTATGTAATTTATTAGTGGGCGGGAAATGCTTATCAATCAATTTTAAAAACACTTTTCCTATGTTTGTGGAAACATTTTTGCTATATGAGGGGGGGGGGGGTTGAACCAAATTACATTTCTAGTTCTATTTCGCTTTTTTGTATTCTTTTTTCAGGGTCAAATTTTAATTCAAAGTTTTCAAAACCATTTTTAAGGGCATCTTCAAATATCTGTTTGGAGGAATTGAATACATTTTCATTAGAAAAGTTTTGGTTAAGCCTGTTATTAATTGAAATCGGAATTTGTTTTAGAATTTGGGGTGGATGATTTGAGTTAATATTAATATACAATAATTCATCGCTTGGTTTTTTGAAAGGCTTATATGTATTTTCCGAGAGGTTAAATGTGACATCAAGAAAGTTCACAATTTTTAAATTTATGTTTATTTCAATTTGAAAGGCAATATTTTAAAAATTTTTTATAATATCTTTTCTAATTTTATCAAGCTGTGGACCAGATTTTTTACGCATTACTATTAAACCATCGTCGCGATAAAGGCCTAAATCATTTATATTGATTATTTTACTTAATAAATCTAAAATATATAATCCAACAAATTCACAAATTTCTGCTCCATCATAACTGCCCATTGTTACATCAAAGCAGTTGTGCATGTTTTTCTTTTTCCAAGTTTCCTTATTAAAATAAAGTAAGGTTTTTCTACAATGTTTTATTATGCGAATTGTTTCTTCAGGAATAACTGTGTGGCTTTTCGCAAATTCAATTGTTTTATCTAAAATATCTGCAGTTATTGAGTTTCTGTAAGTTGGTAATTGTCATTTTGATAAAATAAATCATCTGTTGCAGTTGGTAAGTTAAATAACAATTTTTTTATTTGGTGTTTCTACTCTTATTCTTTAAAGCTATACTATAAGTTTAATCCCTTTTTTTTTATTTGATGACACTTTTTCTTTTAGTTTTATCAACATCTGCCAGTGACAATGCCACAGTTGATAACATTAAAAAATTTTTTTTCAGCTTTACAACTGCTCGATGTACTTAAGGATAGTTCTGTAAAATACGCAATTTTTAAGACCAATAAAAAATCAGCAAGAAAAACTTTTATATTTGCAGGTTCCAAACATAATAATTTAAATTTTTCAACGAATTCAAATAAAATAGCTCCCCTTAAATTATATTGTGCTGATAAAAATTTAAGTTAAGTTACAACCTTTGAATATTTGAGGTTGTATGAGATGTTATTAAAAACGTTCGTATTTGTTTACTTCGCTCAGCGAGGAAAAAGTTTTACCTTTTCATACTTTCCAATATTCTTGTTTGTAACGTATATTAATTATTAGAAACGAGTGGCATGTCAAAAAGTCAGTTTTTATAAAAATATTTTGGCTTTTCTGATTGTTTTCTGTTTTTTTATATGAATAATTCGGTTATAAATCAACTTTAAATAGTTAATTTGAAACAATAATAGATTACACTCATTGCAAATCGAAAGTATAATTATAATTCTACAATTTAATTAAAAAAGCAACTAATTTTATTATAAATCGATATAGCGAAAAGAAATCTTAGTAAAGAACTTTTCATAAAACTGGTTGAGTCAAGTCTGCAAACTAAAACATTTTCACTCGAAATTAATATTTTGTTATCGATTTTCTTTTTTATTTATCTTAATGATGTTTTTTCGGACGGCCATGTTTTTTATAGAATCAAGATTATAAAAGTTTTATATGAGTTATTAAAACTAATAGTTCTTGGGTTAACACTTTGCTATTCCATAGAGAATTATTTATTTATAATATATATATATATATATATATATATATATATATATATATATATATATATATATATATATATATATATATATATATATATATATATATATATATATATATATATATATATATATATATATATATATATATATATATATATATATATATATATATATATATATATATATATATATATATATATATATATATATATATATATATATATATATATATATATATATATATATATATATGTATAGGTACGCGGAAATAGCGATTTACGGAGCCGAATTTTGTGCTAAAATTCTGTGACTCGTTTTTTTGACGTTTTTTTTAGGTAGCCTAAGGCAAACGTATTTTTGAGAAGTTTCTTTTCGGAAACATATACAAACATAGTATATTTTTGGAAAGAAGAAGAGTTAAGCTTGTTTTTTATGTTATTTTTATGTACGGTTGTCTTACCATTTTTTGAAGCATTTGGCTCATGAAAAGTAGGTTCGTGTTTGCATGTCAAGTTCTTTATTCCGCTTTTTTGGTTCTTTAAATAAGTTTTTACATGCATTTTCTTTGCACATACCAAATTTTATTGAAAAATATTGTGTAGCAGATAGTTAAATCAATTTAGCACTTTTAGTACCTAATTTCTGTTTTTCCGATTTTTTTTAGCGGATTTCCCGTCTCATTATTTTGAGTAGGGTTAGGCAAACAATTTTTTGTTGGTTTTTTTTACAGAAACGTATATACACATAGTATATTTTCAGAAAGAAGAAGAGTTAGGCTTGTTTTTTGTGTTATTTTTTTACATGATTGTCATACCTTTTTTTTTACTATTTTGCTCATGAAAATCATTTTGATGTTTACTTGTTCAATTATTGTTGAAGGAATCTATATTCCGCTTTTTTGATTTTTTAAATAAGTTTCTACATGCTTTTCTTTTGCACCTGCCAAATTTCATGAAAAAATATTATGTAGCAATTAGTTAATTCAGTTAAACACTTTTGGTACCTAATTTCTGTTTTCAAAAATAGCCGAGGTGGGGCTGAGGGGGAGAGAGTTTTTTTTTCTTTAAAAATGTTTATTGCATATTGTTTCACTTAGATTGTTAGTAATTAAAAAAATGAATATTATAAATGAACTGGGTAATCAAACAGATAGTAATTTCATATGTTTTTTCATAATAATACTATTGTTTATTACTTTTACAAGTATTTTTTTGTTAAACTTTTGAAAATCATTGACTAGATAAAACCTACTCAATGCTTTTTTTTAAGTAACCCCTAATTTTCGTTATTTACACCTTTATTTTATTTGTTATTTACACAGTACTTTTCTTTGCTCTTTACGAAATTGTTTTATTGGATTTGTTGCCAAATATGTGTATTTTTTTTTTATATATTACACCTTTTTTAACATTAGCTTCATCGTCATCTGATGCAGTTGGTAAGTTAAATAAGTATTTTTTTATTAGGTGTTTCTACTTATTCTTTAAAGCTATACTACAAGTTTAATACCTTTTTTTATTTTATTTGATGACACTTTATTTTTCATTTAGTTTTATCAACATCTGCCAGTGGCAAATTTTTTCAGATCTGTATAGAGTTAATGTCGAAATCAAAGTTATTTTGGTTAATTTTTTTACCTTTAGCTTTGTCACCATCTGCTATGGTTGGTAAGTTTGAGAACTTTTTTTAAAAAACAACTATGTATAGATTTGTTGGCAAAAACTATGTATGTTTTGTTCTTTACATTTTTTTACCTAATGTTTTATCTACATTGAGAACATTTGGTATGTTAATCTTTTATGATTTATCTATTGTATAATACTATGTCTTTTAATTATTGTTTAAATTATTACACAAACATTTCTAATGTTTCTTTCTTGTTTAGATGCAGGCTTACTATTTCATCAGTTTTTGAGATTCCGTAAGTGATATATGATAGTGATGTATAGTGATATGATAGTAGTATATAGTGTATAGATATGATATGATAGTGATATATAGGTGTATAGGAATGATATTGATGTATAGGTGTATAGATATGATAGTGATGTATAGATGTATCGATATGATAGTGATGTATAGATGTATAGATATGATAGATAATAGTGACATATAGGGATGACATGAACAATATAATCTTTAATGTTATTCATAATAAAATAAACATTTTGATGCCTTAAAATTTTTTTAATACAAAAGATATCTTTTTTATAATCTTTCTTTTATTGTTTAAATCATTATACAACCTTTCTTAATGTTTACTTGTGTAATTATGTTTTCATTATATACTTTATCAATAAAGTTGTTGCACATTATCCAGAACTTGTTTGGTTGTTGTCACTTATTCACTTACTGTTGTCAAATTTAAGGTGTTTTTTTTATTTTGATATACAGTTTTCTTGTTAATTTTAGTCCAATCAACTCAGCCTTTCACTCCTAAGTTTGTATATTGCAATTTCGGTCATGTTTATATAAGTAGAAATTTAATGTATGCTTTGGTTTAATTCATATGTTTTTTATCTCAAGTCATTTCTTAAACAACTGTGATTAGTAAATTTAAAAGCTATTATATTTTAACTTGTGAAAGATTTATTGCCAATATCTTTTTTTTTTTTGTAGATAACATCCATTTTGTTTTTAGTTTTAGTTTTAGTTCCATCTACATCTGAAACAGTTGGTAAGTTTAAGAGTCAATTCTTTTTCAGTAGTGTATTGATTTAATCCCATTTTTAATTTTTTTTGTTTATTTTTATATTGCATCTTTTCGTGATATTAGTTGCATCTACATCCTTCTTTTTTGCTATTAATTACACCTTTTTTACATTAGCCTTTTACGACACCTGCTGTGGATGTCGATATCATTTCTTTTGTTATGGCTATACTATAGATTTAATATCAAACTCAATTTTCTTTTTGATTACAGCTTTTTTTTTACTTTTAGTTTCATCAACATCTACCACATTTAGAAAGTTTAAAAGCTATTTCTTTGTTCACTTTGTATGTAATATGTGTATGCAAGGCCAATTTCTAATACTTTTTTACTTGGTTACACCTTTTTTTAATCTATATCTGCCACAGTTACTAAGTTTAAAAGCTATTACTTTTTAATCTCTGTAATAATTTAATGTCTAAATCAAATATTTTTTTTGTTGAGTACATCCTTTTCACAAATAGTAAGTTTAAAAACTAAATATTTTTCAGCAGTGTTTTGATTTTTCTAAAAAAGTCATTTATTTTGTTAATTACATTTTTTTTTTGGATTTTTAGCTGCATCTACATCTGCTTTGGTTGGTATGTTAAAAAACTATTTCTTTGTTAGCAGTGCATAGTCTATCTCATTAAAATTATACTATAAATTTAATCCCAATTTCATTTTATTTTTGTTGTTTACATCAATTTTTAACTTTTTTAACGTTTTTGAAAAACTTTAATGCTTATTTATATTTTATAAAAGTATTTTATATTAAATAAGCCAATTCTAAATAAAAGTTTTTAATTTTTTTTTTGTAAGGGTTTATATAAAATGCTTCATAATGCTTTGAAATCTTAACTATCATTGAAAAGATGAATTTATACAAACACTTATCTGCAAAACAACTTGAAGATTTAGATGATGTGATGTCTGAAAGAATTGCTGGCAGAAAACTCTGTCATGAATGGTATGATACTGACTCATCAAAGTCTATCATTTATGATGGTAGACTAGAAAAAGCAAAAGACAAAATGATAGAATTTACACTATTTCTTACTGAAAACAAGATAAAACTAATATTGAAGCTGTTGAGCATAAGATGAAAAAAATCCAGCTAGCTGCTGATGTTGTATTAGATGAGTTAATATTTTCTTAGTTTGAATATGAAATAATGTAAAAATGCTTGAAAAAAAAGTTCTGCAAGTTTTGTGGCTTGCAAACAAGTACAACAAGTTTTGTGGCTTGCCATTAGGTAAAGCAAGTTATTATTAAGTTTCAAATATATTAAATAAAAACAATAACTATAAATAACTAATTTACAAAACTTGCTTTACCTAATGGCAAGCCACAAAACTTGCTGTATCTATTTGCAGTCTTGCAACATGGTAAAACAGTTTTTTATACTATTTTATATGAGTTAAAAAGCATTTTTAAACTTTTTTTGTTAAATTCTAATAAAAACCTTTTTTTTTAGGTATTGGGCGGAAGTGGGGCGGCTTGCACCCCCTTTTATAAAGGCAATTTATACACAACTGTAACATGGTAAAACAGTTTTTTATACTATTTTATGTGTTTAAAAAGCATTTTTAAACTTTTTTTGTTAAATTCTAATTAAAACTTTTTTTTTAGGTATTGGGCGGAAGGGAGCGGCTTACACCCCCTTTCATGAAGTCAATTTATACACCACTAGTTACTATTTTTCCAAGTATCGAAATATATTTTTTATTTTTTATACTAAAATTAATTGTTTTAGTAAAGATTGAAATATTTAAAAGAATGAAATTTTGATAGGGTGTGTTAAACCTTATTCAAAACCCAACACCCGACTTTGAGATAGACTTGTAATATTCACTAGTGATGTGGAATAAAATAATAACAATTTTTTGTATATAGATATTTGCAATTTTTAAAAGAAAAACACTTTTTTATGAGAAAAAGTGTATTTTTGTGAGGTGTAGGTGGTGGATTAGCACCCCCTCCAGGTCCCTGAATGCGCCCTTGACCTAAAATTAAATTGAAAATTATAGCCCTTTTTTACACCTATCTTTCGATACCAAGTTATAGATATTTGAATAAAAATTAGCAAAGTTATAACAACTTATGTGAAAAAAAAATTTTTTTTGACCACAGTTTTATCAAGAAATCCATAAATCGAAAATTTGCTACTTAAAACGTCATAACTTTTGATAGAATTGTCCGATTTTCATAATTTTTTCCCCTTTAAAATACTGTATTTAGGGGCTTTCAAATGATATATAACATTCTAGTATTTGATAAATTAAAAAAAATCAGTCCACGTACCTAATATATATATATATATATATATATATATATATATATATATATATATATATATATATATATATATATATATATATATATATACATATATATATATATATATATATATATATATATATATATATATATATATATATATATATATATATATATATATATATATATATATATATATATATATATATATATATATATATATATATATATATATATATATATATATATATATATATATATATATATATATATTAATAAGATATTATTTTAGTTAATAATCTTTGTTGTTGTGCAAATGTTGAATAATTTTTAATGGCACTATAGAAATGATAACAACAATATATAATTTTAATATATTTTTTCTACATTTAGATAAAAATATATATTAATATTGACATATAATATATTATTATGTCAATATTAGATACTTGTGGCTTTGCAAAGTCAATAGTTTTACTAATTTTTAAAAAAAAGAGAGCAGAGAAAAAAATATTGAATGAAAATATAATCTTATATAAACATAAAATTAGACAACAACAGTATGATGAATATAATACATTTTTTAACCTCAAACAGTTCAATATAGATTATATTCAATTCTCTAAAAATTTTCCTAAAATTATTTTTCATATGAAAATACTTGGGAAAAATAAATTATTTAAGAATAATGTAATGAAGACATTTTCCAAAAAGAAATGGTTGAATCTTAGTCAGGAAATTAAAGAAAACCATTCACTTATAAATTGTTTAGAATGCAGAAATGATTTGATATTGAAAAAATCTTTGGGTTTGTACCCTATTAAAGGATTGATACAAAAAATCAAAGCAAAAAAAGGTGGATTATTAAAAAAGACCATCGGTTTTAGAAATAAAATAATAAACAAGAATGATCAACAGTATTTAATAAACAAAAGCAAAACTTTTTCTAACAATGCTAAAGTACAAAAAGGAAACAGTTTATTTGTGAATATCTCAAAACAAAAGTTGGTATTATCTGTAAAAAAAGACATTGAAAAACAACTTCTAGAGACAAGCGTAGAAAGGTTAGATTTAATAAAATGTTAGATATAATTTGAAAAAATATGTATAAATATATATTATTGTAAGCTTTTGAGTGTATTTACTGACTATCATCTTGATTTAAAATATTTTAGATCGTTTGCTGTACCTGTGTCATTAAGAAAGCGTAGAAAATTAAGATTACATGGAGGTTTTGAGTCAAAATCAAATGCAATACTTCGTACAAGTATTAATAGGCAATACATCGAGAAGGTAACTTGAATGGAATAAAACACATTCATTACACATGTAATACCAATATATTAAGATAATATAGTACTAATATGCAGACATGGGTTTATTTATGTATTTATCTTTCAATATATAGGGTTTAATGATTAAAAAAGATCATCTTGGTTCAAGATTCGGTTACAGATGGGAAAAAAAAAAGTGTTTACTTTATCTTGAAAATTTACCTTCCAATCAAAATATAAATTTTACCAGTCTAGCTATTAAATACAATCTTCATAATAAGAAAGGTTAGTTATTTTTTGTTATCATGTGTTATATAATTGTATTACAAAATAGATGTGTATAAAAAAAATTATGAGCACCGGGGGTGCAGAGAGAATTTTAGAAGCCTCGGGTAGATAAATAGGATGGCCCAGGGTTCGATGAGCACTTATATGTATAGGTGAAAGGTGGATTTAAAATTTTTAGACTGGTATGATTCTCTTGATTTGTCTTATATATATTATAAAACAGCTTTAAAATTGTAATAATTGTAAACACTTTTCCTTGCTCTCAAGATCTTCTATCTTTGTTATATATGTAATGTATTAATGTATTAAAGTGTTCTCATTAAAGTATTAATGTGTTCTTTTAAAATCTAATAGGGAAAATACCTGGGAATGCTGGTCAGGTCATAAAGGAGCTTCTGAAAGAAAATGGTGTTGATGTAGCAAAATTTAATTTAAAGTCTATTTCTACTTTTAATCAAACTGAAAATACAAACAATTGTTGTTCCAAGCCTCGAAGGAGAAAAAGAAGGTATGTTTTTGTTCTCAGGAAAAATTTTATTTTTTAGTTAAATCAGTTATAATTTCTTAATTGTCTTCATTTGTGCCAATATTATATTTTAGAAAGTGTATTATGTCTTTGAGAATGAATAATATAATAAAATTTAATTATAACTTAAGATGCTTAATATAAATTCATTTTTGTTTTTGAATGAGCTTAAAAGTTACATGAGATAATAAATATCTCATTTTATTTATTGTAGTTTTTTTTATTGATTTAGGTTAAATGTACCAGGCTACAAAAGTATTTCTATACCAATGGAAGTTTCTAATAAAGTACTTAAAGATAAGTTAGAGCAAGATATTGAAAAAGGCAAATATAGAATCGAAAAATTAATTGTTCCAAAAACTTTTACAAAAACAGTTTGTAAAAACAATAGCTTAGTTACTGAAGAATTTTTAGTTTCTGGCAGAAAATTAAGTATTGATGATATCAGAGCAGATATGTATGAGAACCATAAGGCTTTTATGAGATTAACGACTGATCAAGAGTATTTAGCCTTAAGCAGGGAAACAATAATTGACGGTTTGAAAAGAATCGGTGAGTTCAATGATGACTATGAGAATAGAAGTGTTTTGCATTTAAGAGAAACATTTAAAAAATTTGAGCGTACCAGACATTTGATGTTTTGGCATGATGGATCTTCACTATCCAACCATGGTCATATATTAATGTTGATATCAGTAATGTATGACAAAGCAATTTTTTTCAATAATGATGAGTACTACGAAAAGTATGGGGAAAAAATCAATATTCAAGCAATAGTAGAAAAACCTTTTTTATATATACTCGCACGGTGTCCTTCAAATGACGAACAACTCGAATACAGAAATTTGCGAATTGAAGATATAATTTCACTAAAATATCCCATAATAGTAAATAATGACATAGAAATTTTTGACGTTTTAAGAATCTTTAAAGGTGACCATCCAGCTTCACAATTTGAATCTGGACAAAATAAAGACGGCAATTTTCTATGCCATGGATGTAGCCTTTTTGCTCCAAAAGCTAAAAGTTATTCATACTCATTTCAGAGTTTAAAACAAAGAGTTGAAAAAATATTTCAAACAAACTTATCAAAAGATAACTTTAAACATGGGAAGATCTATTTATATAAAAATTTATCTTAAACATTATCAGTGAACTTCTTGGAAGAAATTTACAATTTAAAGTAAACTCAAATAAAAAAAATCTAAAGACCATCCTTGATGAAGAACTGCATGGGATTAAACGTCTTCCAGCTTTGATGTGTACCAAATCATTTGGTTGTTTTGATAGCTTGAACTTAGCTGAGTATGAAATATTGGTTAATGAGCCATTACATGATGTTTCTAACCATATAAAAAATCTACAGAAAGAAATTCCATTTCATTTAGAAAAGAGGTTAAAACCAATTGTTCAGCAAATAATTTCTGATTCATTTGATTCAGAGCTCAAAAACTCAGTTGATCACCGGAAGAGTTTGCTAGTTATAACTAAATGGTTTCAGGAGCATCAACCGTTTCACTTTATTTGCACACTTCTTACACAGTTATCCGAAATACAGGAAATACTTTACCTAGGCGATGATTTCAGAAAACCTATTGTTATACTGAGATTACTAATTACAACCTTTTTACATTCAATTTTTACAAAAATATACTAAGAAGGAAAAATCAGCTCAATGAGCGAAAGAAAGTATTTTGGTATTTATTATCATAGTTTAATTAGACATTCTGGAGAACAATTCAGATTATTTTCAGGACGTTCATGCAATTCTGAAAAAGAAGAAGCCTTTTTCCATCCTCTTAAAGAGTTTACAAATCTCACTTCAAATCGTAATCCAGACAATATTATTCTTAATAATATAATAAGAATACAATCTAAAAAACTTCTGAACAATGAAGAAAATAACTCACAATTAAAAAAATCTAAACTCTATCATTTGTATTCTTCTATTAAGCAATCGTATAAAAATCATGTAATTCATTTTACTATAATAGAGCAATACCCGTGGGAGTACCAATCAATGCTTGAGAACATAGCAGATTATTTAGTAAAAGGAAAATGGTGGAGTGAGACAAACAATGGTGTTGTGTTTTTTGATTTAGAGAACGACTCATTAAAAAAATTAACCCACTTCCGATCTACTTCAATCACGAAAAATAATAAACATATTGCATCATGTTGGATCAAATGCCTTGAAGATCTTTATAAAATACCTGCATTAAAAATCATGATAAACGGAAATATAGTTAAACTTGGTAATTTGAAATACTCGAACTATGTTAGTTTAGAGAGAATAGAAAGTTCTACAGAAATTCCGATTGAAATAATTAAAGATTAATTAATTTTTTGAATATATTTGTTATTTACGTCTTTATTCTTAAAGTATGAAATGTTCAAAACTGTTTTACGTTTAACTTCACAGGCCTTAGAGCTTTTTTATTCTTCTGCATCTGCTTTTTAACTTATTTATTCTGCCAAATAGCTAACCTTATTTTTCAATCAGGTCAAGTTCCCTATTTAAGTTTAA